CACATTCTTTCGTTACCTTATATTCGGCACTGGAGAGTTAGAGAAAGTACCACATACGAAAACCTAGAAGGCGGCAAGCGTTTTCAAGAGAAAGGCGTATAAACCACACCGAGACGGCCACTATTTAACTCAACATGTTCCAAAATGAAGGTCCAATATCAGCCTTGACAGCCTTGAGCTTCTTGTTGAGTAGCGATTCTGTAGTTCCGCACCCCGAGAGGGATTCAGTACCATCGGGGATGATGAGCGGCTGATTTGCTGGACTCTCCAGCATTTCGTGGGTTGATGATTTGGCATTGTGCACATGGAAAAGATATTGGTATGTCGGGTTATCCGAGCCCTCAAAATAGCTTATTATGTGTGAGCTGAAACTTGACGGCGCATCATCTTCAAACCCTTACTGCGTTGGAGGGATCAGTGGGACTGGGGAAGTGGCTGACACCAAACCTCGCAGTTTTTGTCCTTACAATTCTTGCAGGGAATCTTGACGCAGAAAATGTGAAGCGTGTCCGCCACCTCAACTTTCTTGGCGGACATCATGGGCTTTTGCGGCGTCTTATAAACGGGTTGTAGAGGAGGGAGAGGGCGCTGAGAATCGTTTAATTACTGATCAGGCTTTGGGTGGATAAACCGTTGATTGACTTGCTGGATCAGTCCGTAAGAAAGGCATCCTTATCTGTGGTTCGAAAGTCCTTGTCAGCTACCTCGATCTTCACGAGGATGGGGAACATAGACATACAAGAGTTCTATAGGCTCTGTTGCCAGTAGTTCTAGTATTACTGCTTAGTGCGGATATGCGATAGCATATGCGTTGATGGAAAACCTGATAATCACTGTCGGACTTACCTAGCTCTATCAGTAGTCACCATCGAGCAAAATCCAACCAGATGAAGAGAAACAAAAATAGGGCAAGTTCACGGTGATTGCGCTAACTCTTTCGTGATGATACTTTCTTGCCATTTCAACGGATATCTTGTATGGCGCTAGAATCATTCTATGTCATCTAAGTGTTTGCGCAGTTAGTCGCGAGACGTCAAGGCCGTGCGAGAAAACATGCAGCACCAGCACTAACAAAGGAATATCTCAGGGGCACCATGGAAGGGTCTGGAATACATGCTCAGATCAGAGTCGATCAACTGAGAGAGAGGAAGTGGCGATTACTTCCCACAATTACTGAGAGCCGTTTCTCATTTGCGTGAGACCTTTGATGAACGAGGCATGACCACACCTCCCTGCATGTCGAGATGTAAGTAAACGTCTGCGAAGCAGTTGCGTCTAACTTTACATCAGAGTTCGTTGCAGATCCTTAAATCTCACAACAGCTTCATTATCAATCTTGGCGTTCATATGCTTTCTGACTCACACTTGTGTTCGCTTATTATCATAGCCAGCATTCACTAAACATGGCACAGTTCCAATATGAAGAACTGACAACACAGTGCCCAGTATCTTCACGGTATCATTTCTCAAGTAGAGAAGTCTTGTATCATTGTCAATCTTTCTGGTCTGTAAACCTATGCGACATTTGAGTTAAAATTGGTAATCAACACTATCAACAACGTCATCTTTCAGCTATTGCTTAACAACAGACCACTCTATAACACTGGAGGGAGTCCTCTCAGACTAGGCTCATTAATAGTTTGGTACCGAGGGGTAGAGATTATTTACCTAGACAAGAGAGGATCAAGCACGATAACACAGACATCTCATCACAACATTGCAGGACGGTAATCGAATCAACTCCCTATCTATAATAGACTGACTTCACAAGTGACTTCCAACGTCACTTTGATTTGTCACAGCTTAGCCTGACCCATGAGACTATCGTAGCCGCAATTGTGAATATGAATAGAACAACGAGCGTGAGAGCAAGGAAGACGTAAACGTTACTTACTGTCTGCGTAAGATCACGACCATCAACGAGATCTAGTCACATCCTCAATCATTTCCGTGGCGGGGAGAAATGCGCATCACAGCCAGCTCTAGAAATGTGGAGGATGGCAAGAGTTCAGGCAATTCACTTCGAATCCGTCATCAGAGAAAGCACTTCTTGCTCCCAGAATCATCAAGGAATATAGATCTTCGCGATCAACCACCAACGGAATACCGACCAAGCGCCTTGGACCATAGAGGCCAGAGGACAGAAAGATGAGAATTAGACAAATTGTATGGAAAGCCCTGATGTCCTAGCAATCCCCATCCCAAGACTGAGGTGTAAACAAGTCTGGAATGAATTTATTTCAGTAAAGTGTGAGAGAGAAGAAGAAAATCTCATGAGAAAGGAGAGGTATCATAGAACATTAGTTGTTCGACATTGCCCGACTCAAACCTTCCAAGAAAACATCCTGCTTGCTGCTGACCTTGGCCTTATGTGCTTTGTAGAATCACGAACATGCCTAGGTAATCACAATCACCTGCTGGACTAGAACATCGGCATGTGTTCATGATAAGTCAAGGTGACAAAGTGTTGCTGTTGGATACTGTAAGACGCGTTGGACCAGGAGTTTGGGTGTTCTTTCGCTTGGTGAGGATTTACAGAGAGAGACATATACTTGCAATAAAACGTGAGTGATAGTAGCGACAGGGAGGATTTCTATTGGCAATTCAATGAACCGTTTGTGTACTACTTGATACGTCGATCATAACGGGACAGCCGATCTTACAGAAGCCGTCATGCTCGATCGGAGAAACGGGGTCTAGTCCAATCGTTACCAAGGCGCAATTGCCGGATGGCTGCGTGCGAGCATGTACGACGACTGGCTGAGCAGATAAGAGACAATAGAGGCGCATTGAAACGCAGAAATGAAGAGTGTTGACATGCTAAGATGAATCAGTGCACAAGAATAGCCCGACTGGATTCTAGTAAGAAAGATTGCCGAAAGCACGCGTTCTTCATCAAGCCATAGAAGCATCTTGCACAACTTCCACGCGTGAGGGCGCGCCTACTTACGTATTGATCGACATGAGTCATCCTAAAACATGTTCAATGTCAATCAGCATCATATTGGAGGTATGACTATATGCCAAGATGGCCAGAATGATTGATGAGGTCACCGAGGGGTCCTTGGTAGACCATGAAGGTGGGAGTGGCTCAAGGCACATGCGTTTTTGTCATTATCTTCTTCTTGGTCTTCTCGTTATCGCTCTTCACTTCTCAATTCCATGGTCGAGATGAGGATCATGGCGCGCATGGTCTTAGTCTCACACAACTCTTCATGTATATTCTATCGGACGGGCAAGACCTGCGCTCCTGCGTCTACACGTTCGCACCATCTCGTACAGGGTCTTAGCTGTTTTCAAGTAGCTACAAGAGAAGTGGCCCTCTTGAAAAAATCTGTCGAAGGCCACATTGTAGTCCATGCAATCTCTCCCGCCTTCGAAACAAGACGACGCCGTGCCTTGTTCGCAAGCGATCGTTCAGAACGACCCTCCTTCAGTTCAAATAATTTTACATAAGAGAGTGCTCGGGTCGCGGTGCACAGACTCCGGCTACGGATATGCAAATGGCCAAACGTGCCAGAGAGTTCTCGACTCGGTTGGGGCCTGATACAGGTCTCTTTTGGTATACACGTCAGCAGGGCAAGTCCTTTCGGCCGGCACGAAGTGCAATAATCGCATTGAACTGCAAATGTGGCATGGAGGAAGGAAGTCGGTGGGCAGATCCCACGGTTTCGCCATTGGGTGCAAGTGGGTATGAAAGTGCTGTTTGCAATGGATCGACCACCTTCCGAACCCCCTTTTCTGCCGTCAATATTTCAACAGTCTTATCGCGTCCGCCTCGGTTAGTATGCTTCCACATCAAGCATCTTGACGCGATTGATCACAGCGTATGACTGACTTTTGTTCGTTGGGGTTGGACCTCAACCATGCCGGTATATGAACATGGGCGCGCGACCTTGCGTGGGCAAATCGTGACCAACATCGCCAGTTACAGATGGATCAACTAATGGCCTCTGCCAGGTCCAAGTTCATATCAAGGTCTTTGAAAGCGTACGCAGCGTTGGATTCGTAGCCGCGTTGTCGCCACTAACAAGTGCAGACGAGAGCTAACACAAAATCGGCTGGCATTGGGACAATCCATTCGCTGACGGATCAGTCCTTGTTCAGTCAGGTCCTGAACCCTGTTCCGACACGTGCAAGATGATTATTGTCAAGCCTTGCATTGCATTGAGCCATCCACGTTGTTAAATTGTGTGCTCTCTCGACCAGTTGAAACTCGAGGATAGCGACACCCGTCTCGGCCTCAATGGAGAGCCCACGCCCCGCACTGATGGGGATGACGAAGGGTTGTGATGAGGGGATGGCGAGGGTCCTGTGCATCGAGGTCGGGACTATGTGGAGCAGTGATGACTTCACACTCATAATCAACCAAATCAACCCGGCTAGAAGCTATTCGCGCCTGGTCAATGCAACGAGAATTTGCAATTATCAGTCCGCCACGAACTACTAATGACGAGCAGCTGAAGCCTGTCAAGGACTGGCAATCAGGCTTATGCCGGGAGCTTCCACAGATGAGCAGCTCAAACGCATTGCGGATTCCCAATTGTGGTAATCGCGACCTTGAAAGACGGGCAGTTGGAGCAGGGAAAATCGCAGTGCACCTCACTTGCTGCCATGAGCCAAAAGTCAGGACTTGCTTCGACCCCAACGATCTTGCCGCTCAACCCATTTCCAAGCGGGAAACAATCAAAGGTGAACTACGCGCTTCCCTCTGTGTTGGGTTCAATTCTTGGCTCGGATACTCAACGGATTTGTGAACTGCCCATCTTAGAGAAGGCGACGTCGTGGGAGGGATCATACGTGAAGGAGTTACGGGCGCTCAGTATTCAGAAAGCAAGATGAAGTCTCATAATTGGACCTTCCCATAAGACACCAAGACCACCGGATGGGGAGATAAATGTCAATCATCCCGCACTACGTCTCTATTTCTACAACTGCCGCTGTCCCTGTTATTTCGTCCCCAGTTCACTTCTTGTGTATTCCTTCAAGAATAAACCTACTCACAATGCCTTGAAGAAGATTAATGATGAGAATAATATGGGGCGTGTCGGAAGTTTGTAGCTGTTTGTCTCTTGCTTTCGGTTGCGTGCGTACTTTTCGTTGTAGGGGAGCGTGCCTCTTTGATGCCCGACACTAGCCACACCAAATGTAGGAATCGTGGGCCCTGTCCACTTCCTTCTCCTTCCACTCCCGTACGAAACAATAGAAACCACTTTCATTGACCCTTCGTGCCGACCGAAGGGTTCCCCTGCTGACGTGCGGACCAACAAAAAGAAAACAGTTGCGGGAGAAATGGGCTGCTCGTCTTGGAACTCGAACTGCTTGAGGTCGACTTCTGATACATTTGTATGCGGCTTGCGGTACTTGCGCTCGTATTGGCACTCTTTGGCAATACGAGCGCAAGTACCGCAACTTGACCAGGAGATACAGTCAAGCTCTTTGAGATCTTCGGTGTCCTGGGAGCTTCCAGCAACCATGACCGTTTGGGCGGCCTTGGTGGCGGTCTCGCAAGCGACCTTGAACATGAGATCCCGGATGGGACTTGCGGGAGGAATAGGCTGCTCACGAGCCAGCTTGAGGGACGCCCCGTCATGAAGCGCTACCCAAGTATCGCTTCCAACCTTCTCGCATGACATATCGGCGTCCGTCCTCTCCCTTGGATATCACAAACTTCTCCCATCGCGATGAACAATAAGATAAAAGAATAAACAATAAAACCAAACAATAAAACCAAACAATAAAACAAACAATAAAACAAACAAACGATGAAAAAAACAAACAAACAATAAACAAACAAACTTCTCCCATCTGGCATCGTGTCCGGCGCCAATCAACACCAGATTGTCCTCCGTGATCCATCCGATCATTGGAGACTCCTCATGTGAAGCTTCTGTTCAGATCTTGACTGAGGCTGTTGTGATTGTACATTCCATTGAAATGCATTGCATTCATAATCATGTCTTTCTGCGGTCTCGTCGTTCGCTCGTCCCGGAATTCGAACCACTTGAGGTCAACTCCAGATGAAGTTGTGTGCGGCTTGCGGTATTTGCGCTCGTATTGGCACTCCTTGGCGACACGCTCGAATTGCGCAACTTGGCCAGGAGACATAACGTAGCCGCCAAAGTATCGTCTCCGGAGCAGGAGTCGAGGGAAGGCATTAAAGACCTGATCGGCGATCTTGTCGGGATGACCCTCACCGACAGACTCGAGTTGTCTTGGCAGTGATCTGAACTTCTTGCCTCACAACCCGTTCCCATGAAGCACGAAGTGGTGCTACTCCTTCGCTTTGAAGAAGGTAATCCGCCGGTGCAGACGCGTGCTGTTGGATTCTGGTCAGTCGTCAGAAGAGATGGATCTGGAAGACGGTTTGGACCCGCGCAGATGGACCCTTCCACCTACTTACTTCCACTGAGAAATCGCAGGCTCTGCCTAAGAACTTCCTCCTCCCACTACGCACAGTAGACCCATAAGAACTTTTGATCTCGTCGCGAACGAAAGGTCTGCCCTGTTGACGTGTATACCAACCTAATCCGTCGGTGCAGACGGTGCATTTGCTCGGGGTTCATGCTGGCTAAGAAGGGATTCTCAACATGACCATCTGAAGGATTCAATTCGACGGCAACCCAAGGACTGTTTCAGAAGTTAGCATGTGTGCTCATACCATGGCTTGATCTCTTCGCTTTGACCTACTTTTCTCGCATATTGATGGACTAAAGGGTGGCCCCTTCAATGGGTTGCTGAATGAGCTGAGGCTCCTGGGTTGTGACGGGGAATCGGATGTTGAGTGTGACGAGGCTGAGTGATGCGTAGTCATTATCGAAATCATCATTGTCCTTTGAGCTTTCAGCGTCGACGATGCCGTAGCTTGATCTCTTCGCCTTGGCCTGTTTCGCCAGAATCTTCTTGGCTTGAGGCAGGGACAGTCTTATCTGGGTAAGAGCTATGGCTTCTCTGCTGTCGCGGGGTACTGTGTATCGTGTGCGACGAGTATGAATGTTGCTGCGGGACAGGACAGGGCCCAGGACGGCGTCCTGTTCAGATTACTCTGTGCTTCGATGATTCTCGTTTTGGAGGTGGGAGATGTTGGTGGGCTCGCGGGAGGTATGGGTACATCTCAGCGTTGTCACCCTGATATTCTGCGTGGCATACTCCGCTCCAAGAGAGGTGTCAAAGAGGTATTGGTGCTGGAAGTGCTGGATTCTGGGCAGCGGTTAGAAAAGGTCTGGTGGTTCTGGCAGGTGGTTTGGGCCATACAAACAGCCCTTGCACCTTCAGCCGCAGCAATGAACACTACTGTACTGACCCTTTGTGCCAACCGTACGGTTGCCCTGCTCATGTGCAAAGTGAAGAGATTCAGTATGGTGACGTGATGAATGCTGTGGATGTCGAAGGGCTGGCCAGAGAGAGATGTGGTTGTTGGTGGATGGATTGAGGGATCTACATCTAAGAAAACTAGAAAAGAGAACGAAAAGTGTATGGACTTGGTGAAGGAAACAATGACCAAGAGACCTTGCCTTTCCTACCTATCTCAGGAATAGACCTGATTGAGACATTAGGTAGGTATGACTGCAAGAAAGCGGGAGAAAGGTACCCGGGATGTTGTGTTGGGCTGGATGACGGTGACTCCACTTGCACCTGCTTCCTAATGCGTGTAAGGTAGGTACCTTGCGACCGATTTTTGGTTGAGGAAACCATGGAAGGTAGCTGCGGTTTACTCCTCGGAAGGCACAACTTCCCACACAGGAACGGGTGGCATTGTGTGAACGGTAGTCCCTTCACTGGCGCCTGCCACCTCAGAATACTTTGATTGCAAGAAAGTGGAAGGAATGGAAGGTACCCGATCCGCGCACCGGGCTGTCACCTGCCACCTATCTACCTTACCTCGCGATCGATCTTGAGGAAACCACCTTCCTTGAGCTGCAGTTTGACAGGTACTCGAAAGACGCACCTTTCTATGCGCAGGAGGAATGAGTGGCTTCGTGCGTGAGTCCCTTGAATGGAACCTGCCACCTCAAAACTGTCCATTCTTAGGGTGGGGGAGTTCAGCTTTCTGTCGGGAAATTTGGTATCGTCGGAGTGATTAGAGCATTTATAGAAATTTGTTGATACGTGTTTCTTCCTTCCTACTACGTCTTTCTCTGGCCTCTCGCTGGTTGCTTGTGAGTAATTGCTTGTCTTCTCTTGCGTCCGGCTGCGTGCGGAACTTTGTTGTTGCGGTCTGTGGAAAGGGACTGGTGGCTCTTGAGTGAATTCACCTTCCTGCACTTTCTGGCCACTCGACTCGACTAGCACCTGCTCTGGAATGCCGTGATCAAGAGGGGAGAAGTTTTCTTGGAACCTAGCGTTGAAATTGTTCATCGCTCTTGGGCTTGGGTGACGGAAAATTAGATGCTTCCTCTGAGTTCTGGGCCAGAGGAAACCTGCGAATGTATGGGTACGGACGAATGAATAGAATGCAACTGCGGGAATGGGGAGTTGGCAAGGCGAGCAGCAGGGCGCTGGGAACTCACATTGGAACCACATCTCTTGGCCGATTCGTTGTGAACTAGACCCACCGCGTATCAGGGATGTGACTTGGTGGGCAGGATGATCAGCAAGTATGGATAGGCGAAAATCATCATTCATGATCAGACAGTCTTGACGCAAGACATGATCTAGTAGCTATGGTATCCCAGACGGTCTTCTTCGAGATCTGAGGACGATATAGCAACTCGACAGAAGTGCTACCCAAGCAATTCATTGTCTATATAGGCTCTAGGTCAACTGTGACAGCGAGGAAAATTGAATCGGAAACATCATGTGCATTACTTCCGTCATTTGGGGTGAATAGAACGAATGGTGGTCGCGGTTGACTAACAGTGGAGTGAGTCTTCGTCCATCTTTAGCTCTGAACGGCGAGTGCCTTACCCACTGAGGCTCGGCCCGGGGCAAAGAGAGAGCTATGTCGGTCCGGATTGTGAAGGGGTGGAGAACTGGTACCAGAGTCGAACAAGCTTCCAGGGAAACGCGGGAAATGGAAAACACCAATGACAAAAAAGTGAAAGGAAAAGACACATTGGTACACACGCTAGCAGAGTAACCGTGCGTTTGGCATGAAGGGTCAATAAAATGGTGTTCATTGCTGCGAACGGAGTACCTTATGCAGTTGGAAGGAGGAAGTGGGCGAGCCACTCCTCCAGAGGCACCAAGTACGTGTAGCTGACCTGACGTTCCCGGCTCCCTGCTGACCTGATATGTGGGTGGGGCGTGGCCTGATTAGAGATGGTATACAAATGTGGAAGGTGAGGTAGGTGGAAGGGCCGTTTTTGTGGGCCTGACCGCCTTCCAGTTCCACCAGACCTTTTCTGCCAAACTGCTCAGAATCTAAAAGAGACAGGAAAAAGAAAGAGAAAACGAAAAAACCTTGGATTTACGGAGGTGCGTCCTAATAGTCATGGCAATTGCTACCAAGCCCTCGACCCATAATTATTATTTATTTTAACTAACTAAAGGCTACGGATTATTCCTTCTTACTTTACTTACTTTCCCCCCCTACTACTACTTATAATAACTACTTTAACTTATATACCGCTTTTTTTATAATTATTATAAGGCTTATAAGGGTATTAAAACTATTAAAACTACTATATTATTACTTATACTACCCTTTTTTTTTATTTTAATATAAATCCTAAAATATTTATAAAAAAAAAGCTAAATCTAAGTATTAGGATAATAATTCTTATTTTATAAAGTCGCTTAGTTAAATAAATTACTAAATAAATATCTTAAGCTCTAAAAATTCTATTTTAAACTATTTATAACGTTTTTATTTATATAAAATAAGTTAAATTTAACTTAGCTTTTTTTATTTTTTTTATTTTAGCCTAATTATTATAAAAATACCTCTCGAAATAACTACCTAACTAAATAAATTAAAAAAGTTAATAATACTATTATTGATAAAGTTTACTATAACTACCATAAGTATAAAAAGAACTATATTAATATTATTAAAGACTTATTAAGGGACGAGGGCGTTAATATTTTTATTACGACTATTTAATAAATCTTTTAATATTATAACTTTTATAAAACTAAACTAACCTATAAGTTAAGCTTAATAAAAAAAATATAATAAGAGCGACTTAAGTAATACCTCGATTATTAATATTAAACCCTTAATAATTAAAAACGGGTTATATAATTAAATAAAATAGTAGTTATTTTTAATTATTATTATAGTAACTATAAGCTTTAGTATCGTATTAACGAGGCCTATATTAAATAATATATATAAAAAAGGTAAAAGGGTTATTCTAAATTTATATTTTAAAAGTATTTTATATATAATAAAAAAGGGCCCTATTGTTATTAAATTTTTAAAACTATTATTAAAAAAAAGGCTACCGATATAAATATTACTAAGCTTAATATAAACCTTAAGCCTATTTAACGTTAATAATAAGAGCTTAAGAATAATATAAAGTAAATAAGCTTATAAAACTTACTAAGCTATAAGTCCTAATTTAATTAAAATACGAAATTAAGTAAGTTAATATAGAATAATAAAAATAACATTAACTAATATAAATATTATAAAAGAATCTTATTACCTAAATTATTCTTTTAAGTTAAAGGATTACTTAGTAATCTAATTATATAAAAAAATAAGGTACTTATTTATAATTATTATTTTATTTATTATATATATAACCTATTTAAAATTATGAAGCTTTTTTAGTTAAGTAATTCGCCCGATTTTAATCCTATTAAACCTTATTAACTATAAATAAAAAAATAAATTATTAAAAAAGGGGTACCTAGGTCCTAAATAAAAATAATACGTCGTTAATAAAAGTACTAAAAAATATTATTATTAAAATAGATTTAGAAATAAATAAAAAGGATATTTTATTATATTTAATAAGTTATTATTTTAAAAGGTAGTAATAAATATAAAAAGGGTCGTTAGGCTAGAAAATACTATTATATAACCCTAAATAACTACCAATTAACTTTAATTAACGCTTTTTTATTATAAAATTAACGATAATTATAGTAGGTAGTAGTGGCCTAATTTTATTATTTATATATACCCTAGCTAGCCCCTTGTCGACTCTCCTGCCTGTGGTAGGGGTTGGGCTTGGCAGTAATTGCCATGATTATTAGGACGTACCTCCGTAATGAACGCCTAAACTCGGCCCGCCACAGCCGTCCTTAGCCACTACCCGCCACGCTTACATAATGCAAGCGCATTCCTATCGCACTAGTTGCAATTTTACAGCAACCCCAATCGCTCAGCTTCAACGACTGGGAAATGCTTAACAGACTGACTGGGGTGTGGGAGTTTACTATCTGACGTAGGTCACGAGATTTTGGAATACTAGCAATGAGATAGAAACATGTAAGAGTGCCGGGTGGTGAGTGAGGGTGTGTATGGTAAGGGCAGTTCTAAGACGACTGTGGCTGGAGCAGTGGGAAAGCTCCAGCACCCCAACGTCGAGATGCGATTTAATGCTCTCACCAACGGCAGAATATGCTGTCTCCCCCCTTGGGGAAGCCAAATTGCGGCATTATTCTCTCTCCCGCTTGTGTCACATCGTTAGTGCGTCTTCATGGCCAGCCGCAGATTGCTTTGATCATGTCCATGACGTAACTGCGGCTTCTGGTACTTGCACCACCGACAGCACCGCCGAGCCGCACCAACCCACCGCTCCTCGCCTACAACACCGTCCCAGTGTAACTCACCTCTGTCTATTCTTCAAATGCCTCTCCTAGCTATCTCTTGTCCGTAAGCTGGACGATATTGCGCAAGGAAAGTACCATCACCAGGAAGACTCCGATCTTTGCACTTGTCGATTGGGCTATGAAGGGAATGATTGAGTAGGTAGGAAGCTTGAACCAATCATCTTCTAGGCAGGTTATCCTGAAAAGCCGGTCCGGGAAGGCCGCTGACGTGCTGGTGAAAGGAACGAAATTGACAGAATCTCCATGATCCTCCCCTCAACACAAGCCGAACCCGCGGTTTGTTGAACCGTTTGTTGCCTCACACCTTGTCATTCAGGAGCCAATGTTCGAGCTGCAGTGCACGCAAACACGCGATTCACTAGAGCTTGAAAGCTGAAGTATCTACCCAGCAGAACCTGGTCTGTTCCTTTCGCACATGTCACGACAGTCAACACAAATCTATCTGCCAGCGAGGGTGGATACCCAGGCCCATAGTGCCTGTATTTCCCCTCCGCCACGCCGCCATCTTTTCTCACCAGATCGACACCGTCGTCAAGTCCCGGACAGTGCTCCGAGAAGCCCACGCAGCCTCCTGGTCAAAGAACCATCGCCTACTTCGCCAAGCTC